CCGTGGCCTAATTTTTTTAACTATTATCTATCTATTATATATTTAAATGCGGGCTTCACTATCTCGCCATGTTTAAGTTTTTCAACGTATTATTTTTGCATGTTCAACAAAGTAATTTTTTCACGTTTAGCTATATCGTATATTGCAATGGTTAAGGTTTTTTTTCGATTTTCCAGTTCAGTGTTTATTTCATCAAGTTTGAAATTAGCAACCCAATACTAGGATTTTTTCAGAGTTTTCCCAGGTTTTGCGATTCTGACCTCCATATATGAATAACCAAATCCTTTTAGTTTACGAGATAGGCAATTTTCGAGATTTTTTGAAAATTTCTAGAAAATTTAATTTAGAAAAATTTGATATTTTTTGAAATTCTCACCCTGTAGTTGGATGCTGTCAGGTACTGTCAGGGATTGCAAATTTTGCGTCTAATTCTCACTCCTCAAATCCTTGTAGTTTTCTAGATATTACGTTTTTTATGATTTTTTCAAAAGAAAATCAAAAACTTAGATTTTAAAAATTTCCAAAACGTTGAAGATCTCTATCCTGTTGTTGGATATTGTGAGGGTACCCTCAAGGGTTGCGAATCTTGCCTCTGAAAATGGCTGCTCAAATATTTGTAGTTTTCGGGATATGACGTTTTTTTTAGGTTTTTTTACAAAATTTTCAGAAAACTTAAGCATAAAAAGTTTCACAAAATTTGAAATTTTCATCTCTGTAGTGAGGCTCTGTCAGGGTACTCTCAGGAGTTGCGAGTTTGGCCTCCCAATTTGACTGCTCAAATCCTTGTAGTTTTCCAGATATGACGTTTTTTGTGATTTTTTTTATAAACATATTCGTGAAAATTAAATTAATTGTTTTTTCCAAGTTTGAATTTCCTAACCTGTTGTTGGGGGGCTGTCAGAGTAATCTCAGGGGTTGGAAATTTGGCCTCCAGTTAAGAATGCCCAAATCATTTTTGTTTAAGAGATACGAAGATTTTACCGAGTTTAAATTAAGCAGCCCAATATCGAATTAGGGGCTGCAAATTTGGCCTCCAATTTTGAATGCCCGAATCATTTTAGTTAACGAGATAAGATGATTTTTCTAGATTTTTTAAAAGATTTTCAGAAATTTCAAATAACAAAATAATTTACAAAACTTGAAGTTCCGAACCCTGTAGTTGGGTGCTGTCATAGTACTCTAAGGTGTTACAAACCTTGCCTCCAAATATGACTGCTCAATTCTATGTAGTTTTCGAGATATTTTTTTTTTTTTGATTTTTTCAAAATTTTTTTTTAGAAAACTTATATTGTTATCATTTTTTAAATATCTGAAATTCCCAACCCTATAGTTGGGTACTGTCAGAGTACTATCAAGCATCGCGAACCTTGCCTCCAAATATGACTGCTCAAATCCTTGTAGTTTTTGAGATATGATGTTTTTTGTGATTTTTTCAAAAATTTTCAGAAAGTTTTTGTTAATTGTTTCTCAAAATTTGAAACTCCCAACCAGGTTTTTGGGTACTGCCAGAGTACTCTAAGAAGTTACAAATCTTGCCTCCAAACATGACTGTTCAAATCCTTGTAGTTTTTGAGATATGACGTTTTTTGTGATTTTTTCAAAAAAATTTCAGAAACCTCACATTAATTTTTTTCCTCAAAATCTGAATTTTCCAACCACGTAGTTGGGTCCTGTCAGAGTAATCTCAAAGACTGCGAATCTTGCCTCCAAATATGACTGCTCAATTCTTTGTAGTTTTTGAGATAAGACGATTTTTGTGATTTCAAAAATTTTCAGAAAACTCAAATTATTTTTAGTTTTTAAAAATCTGAAATTCTCAACCCTGTAGTTAGGTCCTGCCAGAATACTCTCAAAGATGGTGAACCTTGCCTCCAAGTATGACTGCTGAATTCTTTGTAGTTTTCGAGATATGATGTTTTTTGTGATTTTTTAAAAAATTTTCAGAAAACTTAAATTAATATTATTCTTTGAAAATCTAAATTCCCAAGCCTGTAGTTAGGTCCTGTCAGAGTACTCTCAATTTTTTTTGGAAACTAAGGTTTAAAAAAAAAATTGGATTCCTAAGCCTGTAGTAGGGTGCTCTCAGGGACTCTCAGTGGTTGCAAATCGGTCTTCCAAATTTCTCAGCCATTAAGTTTTCGAGATGACGCTTTCAAAATGTGAATTAAAAAAATTTTAAAGTTCGAAACTACCAACCCTGTAATTGGGTGCAGTCAGAGTACACTAAAAGTTTGCAGATGTTGTTTCCAATAAATGTGGTTTTTCATGAGTTGTCGAAAAATTTCGAAGCATACCTGCTTTTTTAATTAATTTGATTATGTCTGTCTACCCGTGGCCTAATTTTTTTAACTATTATCTATCTATTATATATTTAAATGCGGGCTTCACTATCTCGCCTTGTTTAAGTTTTTCAACGTATTATTTTTGCATGTTCAACAAAGTAATTTTTTCACGTTTAGCTATATCGTATATTGCAATGGTTAAGGTTTTTTTTTCGATTTTCCAGTTCAGTGTTTATTTCATCAAGTTTGAAATTAGCAACCCAATACTAGGATTTTGTCAGAGTTTTCCCAGGTTTTGCGATTCTGACCTCCATATATGAATAACCAAATCCTTTTAGTTTACGAGATAGGCAATTTTCGAGATTTTTTGAAAATTTCTAGAAAATTTAATTTAGAAAAATTTGACATTTTTTGAAATTCTCACCCTGTAGTTGGATGCTGTCAGGTACTGTCAGGGGTTGCAAATTTTGCCTCTAATTCTCACTCCTCAAATCCTTGTAGTTTTCGAGATATTACGTTTTTTATGATTTTTTCAAAAGAAAATCAAAAACTTAGATTTTAAAAATTTCCAAAACGTTGAAGATCTCTATCCTGTTGTTGGATATTGTGAGGGTACCCTCAAGGGTTGCGAATCTTGCCTCTGAAAATGGCTGCTCAAATATTTGTAGTTTTTGGGATATGACGTTTTTTTTAGGTTTTTTTAACAAAATTTTCAGAAAACTTAAGCATAAAAAGTTTCACAAAATTTGAAATTTTCATCTCTGTAGTGAGGCTCTGTCAGGGTACTCTCAGGAGTTGCGAGTTTGGCCTCCCAATTTGACTGCTCAAATCCTTGTAGTTTTCCAGATATGACGTTTTTTGTGATTTTTTTTATAAACATGTTCATGAAAATTAAATTAATTGTTTTTTCCAAGTTTGAATTTCCTAACCTGTTGTTGGGGGGCTGTCAGAGTAATCTCAGGGGTTGGAAATTTGGCCTCCAGTTAAGAATGCCCAAATCATTTTTGTTTAAGAGATACGACGATTTTCTTGATTTTTATGGAAATTTTCAGAAAACTCAAATAACAAATAATTCGTTAAAGTGAAATTCCCAACCCTGTAGTTGTGTACTTTCAAAGATTGCGAATTTTGCCATCAAAAAAGAAAGCTTAAGGTGAGGTTTCTCACAATTTGAATTTCCCTACTTGGGTACTGTAAAAGTACTCTCAGGAGTTGCAAATCTTGCGTCCAAATGCGACTGCTCAATTGCTTTCAGTTTCCCAGATGTGACGTTTCTTAGTTCATTTTAAATTCTCCGGAGAACTTTTACAAAACTTCGCAAAATTTAATGGTTCTTAAAAATTTGTATGAAAAACCTGAATAAAAAAACTTAGCTAAATTTGTAATAACGAACCCTCTAACTGGGTGTTGTCAGAGTACACTCGAAGGATAGTTTTTTGAGTTGTTTAAATTTCGAAGCACCACAGGTGCATTACACGCTAGTATCATAGAAAAGCCCTGTTAGTCAGTGTTGATAAAAAATGTGTTTAGTTTAATTTTGAGTCTCATGAAATTTTTTAAAATCCAAATGAAGAAATTTTTAGTTTGTTTAAAGGAAAACTCTATTTGAATGCTTTTTAGCGCTGCTTAACAACAAAAATTGGGACCGTTTCTCCCATTTTTTGTTATTCATTTTTCGATGAAAATTTTTTTCTAGCGTTCTACGTCTGCCGATTTATATCGCTATCTCATCACGCCGCGTAAAAAACTACGCTAATTCAAAAGAAAAAATTAGTTTTTCATGAACGTGTTCGGAAAATTCCGGGCTACTTCTACAGCATCCGACTGTCCCAGTTTGGATATATTTGGCTGCCTTTTTTCCGGGTTTTAAATTAATATCCCTTCTTTGGATCTGTTTTAAGACGTCTATTTTTGGCTGACCCACCCTAAAAGGTTTCTAAAGGCGCCTTTGGCGTCAGTATTTACCAATTTGGAGGGAGTGCGCACAAAAAATCCATGAAAATACATTTCTTGGCCTGTTTCTCAATAGCTATGCCTATGCCGGCGGCACAGCAAAGTTTGTCAAATTAGCCTATATAGTGGTTTTCCGAGCTCTCCCAAAGCACTAAAAAGTCCCTGTTTCGGTCAAAGTTTCTGCGCCGCAGGCAAAATTTTGAAAAAAAATTAGCACAAAAAAGCGGTTTTTGGCACTTTTTGGAAAACGTTGTTAAAAAATTGCGTTTTTTCGGCGCGCGCTCCCCCCTTAAAATAAGTATATATTGGCGCCTAAGGCGCCTTTAGAAAAATTTTAGGGTCCGTCAGCCAAAATTAGATATCTGAAAATAGTTCAAAGGGACCCTTTGGGTCGGTAAGGGTCGAATCCCTGAGGGAGGAGGGGCGTCCGCCCCCGCTTCTAAATCTGCCCCTGTAATTAGGGTCTTTATAGGGATTTCGGAGAGGTCGGAACAGCAATTTGAAGGAAAATGTCGACAAGTTTTCGAAATTTTTTGAATATCCCCCCTCGAGATAATCCTAGATCTGCCCCCTGTTAGTAACTAGGCTTCGAAATAATTCTCATTCACGTAATGGTGTGCACAAGAACCTCTTTGAAGTATGTGCCAATTATTCTTGAAAGTTTTGGCGCAAAAATGTGCTTTTTCGGCTCAAGAGAATTGGGCTGCCCTCCGCTGTCGCAGAGTGCATTCAAAGAAAACTTATCAAATAGATTTGAATACTTACCTATTTAATAAGTTTATCACAACAATTAGGCTAAAAGCAACTGACAGTATCCTGGCTGGTATTCAAACTCCTTCAAAGTAAGTAAGCATTGGCACCAAAAGCGCCTCTGCACAAAATAGGCTTGGTCAGAAAAAAAATTTAGCAGCCAGTATGAATTGAGGTGCCCCTCGGCACGCTACATTGTCTTAGCCTTTGCACTCAATTTAAATTTAGTGCTCAATTGTAGTTTCATCGATTAAATAAGAAAATGGTTCTGGTATTCACAAAATGCGATAATGCGATAGCTTTTCGTAGCATCAGGATGTTAAGCACTGCTTGTTTATCTAGTTTTTAGCTGAGGAGAAAGGGTGTTTTGCCAAAAGAACAGTGCGTGAATGAAAGTGGTAATTTGCTGGACGATGGAAGAAGCCAAAATAATGTTTACAAACTTGGAAACAAATGCTTGGATAAGAAATTATTTTAGTAATTCTAATTGAAAATTAAAAAGCATATACCTTGCGTTATACCGTTCGAATTCGTATTCTTTCGATATTTTGTAAGCCATTTAAATTTATCTGCAGCGGCTTATGCAATAATGAAGGAGCTCTCTGTGATTGCGGTGGTGCTGCAAGTGATTGCATACTACCCCAAAGCATTATTCCTTTTCGCCCCCTTTCACTTCGTGTTCGAGAGTGTTTGGAGCGCGTATGGAAAGGTTTGTCGTTTGAAACTGTTTTCATAAAAATGAGGGGAAATGCTATCTAAATTTATGTTCCAAATTGCATCCACCTGAATTTGTTGCGTAAAAATCTGGATGAAATTGAATTTTAAATAGCTCGACTCAGAAATACATAGTTTTTTAAACTTCTTTTTGAAGCCTTAAATAATTCAAAATTTGTCTTAATTTTGGTTTCAAGCTTAAATTTTACAAGGACAAATTTTTAAAAATTTTTCTGCCTCAGACGTATGTGTGCTTCTAAATGTATTGTTAATAATTCCATTCTTAAAAAATGAGGTTTTGAAACTAACTTTAAGTTTAAAGCCTTTTTACTTGAAACAGTCGTTGAAGGCGTTTGAGATAGCCGAATTGGCTATCAGTTTGGCATAGCTACAAACGCTCCTGAATTGTTTGAATGTCATGGTAGGTGGTTGCCTACTGGGGCGTGTGGTTTGTGTGTTATGAATTGATCGGGACTCTAGGGGGAGAGCTAGTATGTCCCTCTGCCGCAGAGACAAGCGCCATCGACAAACCAGGTACTAATTTTCCCAATCAAGTTTTTAATGAAGTTTAAATTAACTGTCTTTTTTGAAGTAGGTTGAAAAGTATCGTTTTATTGGGCCCAAAGATCAAATCTCCAGTGCAAATATGAACTATGTAATGCAACCAACCATTTTTACTACTAGGTTATCTATTATTGAATTTCAAATGGCTGGAATATAAGAAGTTGTTGCACTCAATGCTATTTTGCTCTTAGCAAAAAGTTCCAGGTCTGACTTATAGTATATACAAACTCAACCGAATCACTAGAAATTGGATTCAGAAAACAGTGTGAATTAACCTCGAAGTTTTTTTTACAAGTTATTCCAAAACATTTAATCAAAGAAAGTTTTTGCATCACTGTTAATTTTTGATTGACACTTGTACTTTTGCAGCCTACATAATCTCGGGCCAGCTGTTCTCCATTGTTGCCGGTGTTCTCTCAATCGTGGCTGTCATCCTCACTATCATCTATATCGGTGACGTCATCCCCAAGAGGAAGGTCAATCGCATTGTGGCCCTCGTGGGGGCTGGAGTCCAGATTGGACAGGCCATTGTCCTGGTCATCAGTGTGCCACCGATGGCAGCCGGGGCTGCTAGTGATACGCCCAGCAACCAGGTATGTCAAATGCTTAATAGATTTGCTCAAAGGACAATTATTGCCTTTGAAGAATCGCGTAAGAATGTACTGTAAGGGTATTGCAACCGGGTACTAGACTTTTTCCCGTAAAAATAAGTTTGTCCACAGAGTTCTCAAGTTCGCACGTGTTTTACTGTAGAGGTACATGTAGTATGTGCATGTTAGGTTAGATATGGACCTTGTGTGATTGTTATGAGTTACTTTAATAGTATTTTTTGTGCCAAAAAAGTTCGGTATTTTTTCGGCACTTGAGTGTCGATTTTAATTCTGCTCATTTTCCGAATGATTTTTTTTTCAATTACTTTTTGTTGGTTTTCATAAGAATAACATAAGTCTCACAAAATGTTTCAGACAAATCTAAATCACTTTCTCAGACCCTTCCTAATAAAAATGAAAGAAAAAAAAATAAAAATGTTAAATTTCTTTTTTTGAAATTTTTTCGAAAAAAAATTTTCAGAAAATTTTTTGTTTTTTGTTTGTTTTTTCAGTGTGCATATACTAACTTCGGTTTTAACTTTTTATGCTTTTATTTGTTCAATCAGCTGATTTTATCATATATATATTTTTTTGATTTCGGAATTCTTTTGTTTTTCTTAAGTTAATTTTTTCTAAGTTTTTCTGTCAACAATTGAAAAAATGTTCTCATTGCTTTTTAGTCCATATTGCTTCCAAAAGTAGCTCTTTGAATTCTAAAAACGAGAACCAATTTGGGTTAGTTCTATCAAAAAGTTCAATCATGAATTTTTCTTTGGAATTCAAAATTTCACTAAGGCTATCTTTTTTTGTTGTAAAAGTAGAAAGTACTTTTTAATGAACGAGTTGGTCCTTTTTTGTTTCATTGCTTTTCTTGTTTTTTTTCATTTTTTCTGTAGATTTTCATTTCTGTATTTTAAATGCCATTCTCTCCTGGTAAACCGGGTTTGGCACCTTATCAGGAAGAAGACCTTAAAATGACGCGTTAGATTATGCGTGCATAATTGTTAGATTATGCGTTGATAATTGCAGAACGAATGCCAAAAAATCGATTCGTTCACATGTGCACGATCGGCTTCTAGATTTTTTTTTGTAACGAACGTTTTGAACAGTGAAATTATGAGATAAAAATGATGTCTAAAAGGGTTTTTCCACGAATCCACGGACAAGTGGTAGCGTTACCTTAGGAGTTAGTTTTTTGCTGCCGAGATTGCATAGTAGTTGAGCCGAAATTGTCTGTTCAGTTTTACTGGAGTGTATGCATTAATTCAGCCTCAAATACAATTGAAAGATTTTCGAACATTTTTTTGTAAATCCCCCCTTGATTTACATCAGCTCCTGATCTTGAGCTCGAATTTTCATGAACAAAGTTTGCAAGAACAAAATTACAAAATCAAATTACTAATTTTTAGAATTCCAATTAAACCAACTACCTTTGAAACAGTTTTTTCAAATGAAGTTAATCCAAAGATGCGAATGCGTTTAAGGCATGTAATTTCATTGATGCTTTAGAGATGAAATATTTTTAGCAAAAGCCTAAATTTTGAGTTACCAATTATTCTTCCTTTAAGCAGAAATATTTTTGCCAAAAAGTAGATAGATTTATTTCCAGCTAAAAGTTTACCATGAAATTATGACTAGAACTTTCTAACATTATGATTATCATTTTGACAAGTGCTGTTTTACTATTTGAGATCTTTTTCCTTCTTCGAAGAATAATATCATGTTGTTACTTAGTTGTAATCATGAGTTCTGCTTGGTTTTGGCAAGAGGTTCTTTCTGCTCGAAGCAAAAATGTTAAATCCGAGTTTTGTCCTGACCACTGGAGGTGGGGAGTAAATTTGTCTTTGGGTGTTTTTTATTTTATTTTTTGCTGCAAATAATAAAAGGAATGGGTTTGGTGATATCTATATCTATATCTATCTATCTATCTATCTATCCTTCTATCTATCTATCTATCTATCTATCTATCTATCTATCTATCTATCTATCTCTCTATCTATCTATACTATATTTAAATGCGAGTGACAGCTATCTCTCATGTTTAAGCATAAAATTTTGCATGTTTAACGAAAGAATTTTTTCATGTTTAAGCTATATCATATATTGCAATGCTCAAGAAAATCTAGTAAGTTTCAAAAACTCAGGGTCTGCTTGAAAACTACCAAGTTTGAAGACCCTGAGATTTTACACAAACTAAAAAACCGCGAAATAATCATTATGATCAGTATTATCAAGTAAAGCAGCGTTGCAGTATATGAAAACAAGTTTATCTTCTCTTTCCTCTGATAATTGAGCCTCATTTCTTTCAAAAATTTCATTTTGGTTTAACTTACTGGTAATAAGCCTTACTTTACTTACTAGTAATTTACTAGTACATTTACTAGTAACTTACCTACTAGAAGTAAGTCCGCACAACCCCCTATTCACAGGGCATTTTGCATGTACGAAATGTGAAAATTTTTTCACCTGTTCACGCTGACGCGTTTTAATGCATTTTATAACATGAAAAGTCATTTTAAATAAGTTTTCATATATTAAATTTCCAAAAAAATCAAAGGAGGAACTGGAAAAGAGCCATTTTTGGGTACTACTATGATACAGTGGTCCGTTGAAAATAACCAGGTCCCTTGTTTTTCATTATTTTTTTTTCGAGGAAATATTAAGTCTGTCTGTCTGTCTGTATACATGCTTTTTTAATTAATTTGATTATGTCTGTCTACCCGTCGCCTAAATTTTTAACTTTCATCTATTATCTATCTATCTATTATATATTTAAATGCGAGCTTCACTATCTCGCCATGTTTAAGCTTTTTCAACGTATTATTTTTGCATGTTTAAGCTATATCTTATATTGCAACAGTTTAGAATTTTTTTTTCGTTTTTCCAATTTGATTTTAGTGGTTATTTTACCGAGTTTAAATTAAGCAGCCCAATATCGAGTTAGGGCTGCAAATTTGGCCTCCAATTTTGAATGCCCGAATCATTTTAGTTAACGAGATAAGATGATTTTTCTAGATTTTTTGAAAGATTTTCAGAAATTTCAAATAACAAAATAATTTACAAAACTTGAAGTTCCGAACCCTGTAGTTGGGTGCTGTCATAGTGCTCTAAGGTGTTACAAACCTTGCCTCCAAATATGACTGCTCAATTCTATGTAGTTTTCGAGATATGACGTTTTTTGTGATTTTTTCAAAAAATTTTTTTAGAAAACTTATATTGTTATCATTTTTTAAATATCTGAAATTCCGAACCCTATAGTTGGGTACTGTCAGAGTACTATCAAGCATCGCGAACCTTGCCTCCAAATATGACTGCTCAAATCCTTGTAGTTTTTGAGATATGATGTTTTTTGTGATTTTTTCAAAAATTTTCAGAAAGTTTTTATTAATTGTTTTTCAAAAATTGAAACTCCCAACCAGGTTTTTGGGTATTGCCAGAGTACTCTAAGAAGTTAAAAATCTTGCCTCCAAAATGAATGTTCAAATATTTGTAGTTTTCGAGATATGACGTTTTTTGTGATTTTTTCAAAAATTTTTCAGAAACCTCACATTAATTTTTTTCCTCAAAATCTGAATTTTCCAATCCTGTAGTTGGGTCCTGTCAGAGTAATCTCAAAGACTGCGAATCTTGCCTCCAAATATGGCTGCTCAATTCTTTGTAGTTTTTGAGATAAGACGTTTTTTGTGATTTCAAAAATTTTCAGAAAACTCAAATTATTTTTTGTTTTTGAAAATCTGAAATTCCCAACCCTGTAGTTAGGTCCTGTCAGAGTACTCTCAAAGATGGTGAACCTTGCCTCCAAGTATGACTGCTCAATTCTTTGTAGTTTTCGAGATATGACGTTTTTTGTGATTTTTTCAAAAATTTTTTTTAGAAAACTTATATTGTTATCATTTTTTAAATATCTGAAATTCCCAACCCTATAGTTGGTTACTGTCAGAGTACTATCAAGCATCGCGAACCTTGCCTCCAAATATGATTGCTCAATTCTTTGTAGTTTTTGAGATAAGACGTTTTTTGTGATTTCAAAAATTTTCAGAAAACTCAAATTATTTTTAGTTCTTAAAAATCTGAAATTCCCAACCCTGTAGTTAGGTCCTGTCAGAGTACTCTCAAAGATGGTGAACCTTGCCTCCAAGTATGACTGCTGAATTCTTTGTAGTTTTCGAGATTTGATGTTTTTTGTGATTTTTTCAAAAATTTTCAGAAAACTTAAATTAATATTATTCTTTGAAAATCTAAATTCCCAAGCCTGTAGTTAGGTCCTGTCAGAGTACTCTCAATTTTTTTTGGAAACTAAGGTTTAAAAAAAAATTTGGATTCCTAAGCCTGTAGTAGGGTGCTCTCAGGGACTCTCAGTGGTTGCAAATCGGTCTTCCAAATTTCTCAGCCATTAAGTTTTCGAGATGACGCTTTCAAAATGGGAATTTAAAAAAATTTTAAAGTTCGAAACTACCAACCCTGTAATTGGGTGCAGTCAGAGTACACTAAAAGTTTGCAGATGTTGTTTCCAATATATGTGGTTTTTCATGAGTTGTCAAAAAATTTCGAAGCATACCTGCTTTTTTAATTAATTTGATTATGTCTGTCTACCCGTGGCCTAATTTTTTTAACTATTATCTATCTATTATATATTTAAATGCGGGCTTCACTATCTCACCATGTTTAAGTTTTTCAACGTATTATTTTTGCATGTTCAACAAAGTAATTTTTTCACGTTTAGCTATATCGTATATTGCAATGGTTAAGGTTTTTTTTCGATTTTCCAGTTCAGTGTTTATTTCATCAAGTTTGAAATTAGCAACCCAATACTAGGATTTTTTCAGAGTTTTCCCAGGTTTTGCGATTCTGACCTCCATATATGAATAACCAAATCCTTTTAGTTTACGAGATAGGCAATTTTCGAGATTTTTTGAAAATTTCTAGAAAATTTAATTTAGAAAAATTTGACATTTTTTGAAATTCTCACCCTGTAGTTGGATGCTGTCAGGTACTGTCAGGGGTTGCAAATTTTGCCTCTAATTCTCACTCCTCAAATCCTTGTAGTTTTCGAGATATTACGTTTTTTATGATTTTTTCAAAAGAAAATCAAAAATTTAGATTTTAAAAATTTCCAAAACGTTGAAGATCTCTATCCTGTTGTTGGATATTGTGAGGGTACCCTCAAGGATTGCGAATCTTGCCTCTGAAAATGGTTGCTCAAATATTTGTAGTTTTCGGGATATGACGTTTTTTTTAGGTTTTTTTACAAAATTTTCAGAAAACTTAAGTATAAAAAGTTTCACAAAATTTGAAATTTTCATCTCTGTAGTGAGGCTCTGTCAGGGTACTCTCAGGAGTTGCGAGTTTGGCCTCCCAATTTGACTGCTCAAATCCTTGTAGTTTTCCAGATATGACGTATTTTGTGATTTTTTTTATAAACATATTCATGAAAATTAAATTAATTGTTTTTTCCAAGTTTGAATTTCCTAACCTGTTGTTGGGGGGCTGTCAGAGTAATCTCAGGGGTTGGAAATTTGGCCTCCAGTTAAGAATGCCCAAATCATTTTTGTTTAAGAGATACGACGATTTTCTTGATTTTTATGGAAATTTTCAGAAAACTCAAATAACAAATAATTCGTTAAAGTGAAATTCCCAACCCTGTAGTTGTGTACTTTCAAAGATTGCGAATTTTGCCATCAAAAAAGAAAGCTTAAGGTGAGGTTTCTCACAATTTGAATTTCCCTACTCGGGTACTGTAAAAGTACTCTCAGGAGTTGCAAATCTTGCGTCCAAATGCGACTGCTCAATTGCTTTCAGTTTCCCAGATGTGACGTTTCTTAGTTCATTTTAAATTCTCCGGAGAACTTTTACAAAACTTCGCAAAATTTAATGGTTCTTAAAAATTTGTATGAAAAATCTGAATAAAAAAACTTAGCTAAATTTGTAATAACGAACCCTCTAACTGGGTGTTGTCAGAGTACACTCAAAGGATAGTTTTTTGAGTTGTTTAAATTTCGAAGCACCACAGGTGCATTACACGCTAGTATCATAGAAAAGCCCTGTTAGTCAGTGTTGATAAAAAATGTGTTTAGTTTAATTTTGAGTCTCATGAAATTTTTTAAAATCCAAATGAAGAAATTTTTAGTTTGTTTAAAGGAAAACTCTATTTGAATGCTTTTTAGCGCTGCTTAACAACAAAAATTGGGACCGTTTCTCCCATTTTTTGTTATTCATTTTTCGATGAAAATTTTTTTCTAGCGTTCTACGTCTGCCGATTTATATCGCTATCTCATCACGCCGCGTAAAAAACTACGCTAATTCAAAAGAAAAAATTAGTTTTTCATGAACGTGTTCGGAAAATTCCGGGCTACTTCTACAGCATCCGACTGTCCCAGTTTGGATATATTTGGCTGCCTTTTTTCCGGGTTTTAAATTAATATCCCTTCTTTGGATCTGTTTTAAGACGTCTATTTTTGGCTGACCCACCCTAAAAGGTTTCTAAAGGCGCCTTTGGCGTCAGTATTTACCAATTTGGAGGGAGTGCGCACAAAAAACCCATAAAAATACCTTTCTTGGCCTGTTTCTCAATAGCTATGCCTATGCCGGCGGCACAGCAAAGTTTGTCAAATTAGCCTATATAGTGAAAAAAAACAGTGGTTTTCCGAGCTCTCCCAAAGCACTAAAAAGTCCCTGTTTCGGTCAAAGTTTCTGCGCCGCAGGCAAAATTTTGAAAAAAAAATAGCACAAAAAAGCGGTTTTTGGCACTTTTTGGAAAATGTTGTTAAAAAATCGCGTTTTTTCGGCGCGCGCTCCCCCCTTAAAATAAGTATATATTGGCGCCTAAGGCGCCTTTAGAAAAATTTTAGGGTCCGTCAGCCAAAATTAGATATCTGAAAATAGTTCAAACGGACCCTTTGGGTCGGTAAGGGTCGAATCCCTGAGGGAGGAGGGGCGTCCGCCCCCGCCTCTAAATCCGCCCCTGTAATTAGGGTCTTTATAGGGATTTCGGAGAGGTCGGAACAGCAATTTGAAGGAAAATGTCGACAAGTTTTCGAAATTTTTTGAAGATCCCCCCTCGAGATAATCCTAGATCTGCCCCCTGTTAGTAACTAGGCTTCGAAATAATTCTCATTCACGTAATGGTGTACACAAGAACCTCTTTGAAGTATGTGCCAATTATTCTTGAAAGTTTTGGCCCAAAAATGTGCTTTTCGGCTCAAGAGAATTGGGCTGCCCTCCGCTGTCGCAGAGTGCATTCAAAGAAAACTTATCAAATAGATTTGAATACTTACCTATTTAATAAATTTATCACAACAATTAGGCTAAAAGCAACTGACAGTATCCTGGCTGGTATTCAAACTCCTTCAAAGTAAGTAAGCATTGGCACCAAAAGCGCCTCTGCACAAAATAGGCTTGGTCAGAAAAAAAATTTAGCAGCCAGTATGAATTGAGGTGCCCCTCGGCACGCTACATTGTCTTAGCCTTTGCACTCAATTTAAATTTAGTGCTCAATTGTAGTTTCATCGATTAGGTAAGAAAATGGTTCTGGTATTCACAAAATGCGATAATGCGATAGCTTTTCGTAGCATCAGGATGTTAAGCACTGCTTGTTTATCTAGTTTTTAGCTGAGGAGAAAGGGTGTTTTGCCAAATGAACAGTGCGTGAATGAAAGTGGTAATTTGCTGGACGATGGAAGAAGCCAAAATAATGTTTACAAACTTGGAAACAAATGCTTGGATAAGAAATTATTTTAGTAATTCTAATTGAAAATTAAAAAGCATATACCTTGCGTTATACCGTTCGAATTCGTATTCTTTCGATATTTTGTAAGCCATTTAAATTTATCTGCAGCGGCTTATGCAATAATGAAGGAGCTCTCTGTGATTGCGGTGGTGCTGCAAGTGATTGCATACTACCCCAAAGCATTATTCCTTTTCGCCCCCTTTCACTTCGTGTTCGAGAGTGTTTGGAGCGCGTATGGAAAGGTTTGTCGTTTGAAACTGTTTTCATAAAAATGAGGGGAAATGCTATCTAAATTTATGTTCCAAATTGCATCCACCTGAATTTGTTGCGTAAAAATCTGGATGAAATTGAATTTTAAATAACTCGACTCAGAAATACATAGTTTTTTAAACTTCTTTTTGAAGCCTTAAATAATTCAAAATTTGTCTTAATTTTGGTTTCAAGCTTAAATTTTACAAGGACAAATTTTTAAAAATTTTTCTGCCTCAGACGTATGTGTGCTTCTAAATGTATTGTTAATAATTCCATTCTTAAAAAATGAGGTTTTGAAACTAACTTTAAGTTTAAAGCCTTTTTACTTGAAACAGTCGTTGAAGGCGTTTGAGATAGCCGAATTGGCTATCAGTTTGGCATAGCTACAAACGCTCCTGAATTGTTTGAATGTCATGGTAGGTGGTTGCCTACTGGGGCGTGTGGTCTGTGTGTTATGAATTGATCGGGACTCTAGGGGGAGAGCTAGTATGTCCCTCTGCCGCAGAGACAAGCGCCATCGACAAACCAGGTACTAATTTTCCCAATCAAGTTTTTAATGAAGTTTAAATTAACTGTCTTTTTTGAAGTAGGTTGAAAAGTATCGTTTTATTGGGCCCAAAGATCAAATCTCCAGTGCAAATATGAACTATGTAATGCAACCAACCATTTTTACTACTAGGTTATCTATTATTGAATTTCAAATGGCTGGAATATAAGAAGTTGTTGCACTCAATGCTATTTTGCTCTTAGCAAAAAGTTCCAGGTCTGACTTATAGTATATACAAACTCAACCGAATCACTAGAAATTGGATTCAGAAAACAGTGTGAATTAACCTCGAAGTTTTTTTACAAGTTATTCCAAAACATTTAATCAAAGAAAGTTTTTGCATCACTGTTAATTTTTGATTGACACTTGTACTTTTGCAGCCTACATAATCTCGGGCCAGCTGTTCTCCATTGTTGCCGGTGTTCTCTCAATCGTGGCTGTCATCCTCACTATCATCTATATCGGTGACGTCATCCCCAAGAGGAAGGTCAATCGCATTGTGGCCCTCGTGGGGGCTGGAGTCCAGATTGGACAGGCCATTGTCCTGGTCATCAGTGTGCCACCGATGGCAGCCGGGGCTGCTAGTGATACGCCCAGCAACCAGGTATGTCAAATGCTTAATAGATTTGCTCAAAGGACAATTATTGCCTTTGAAGAATCGCGTAAGAATGTACTGTAAGGGTATTGCAACCGGGTACTAGACTTTTTCCCGTAAAAATAAGTTTGTCCACAGAGTTCTCAAGTTCGCACGTGTTTTACTGTAGAGGTACATGTAGTATGTGCATGTTAGGTTAGATATGGACCTCGTGTGATTGTTATGAGTTCCTTTAATAGTATTTTTTGTGCCAAAAAAGTTCGGTATTTTTTCGGCACTTGAGTGTCGATTTTAATTCTGCTCATTTTCCGAATGATTTTTTTTTTCAATTACTTTTTGTTGGTTTTTATAAGAATGGCATAAGTCTCACAAAATGTTTCAGACAAATCTAAATCACTTTCCCAGACCCTTCCTAATAAAAATGAAAGAAAAAAAATAAAAATGTTAGATTTCTTTTTTTGAAATTTTTTCGAAAAAAATTTTTCAGAAAATTTTTCGTGTTTTTTGTTTGTTTTTTCAGTGTGCATACTAACTTCGGTTTTAACTTTTTATGCTTTTATTTGTTCAATCAGCTGATTTTATCATATATATATATTTTTGATTTCGCATTTCTTTTGTTTTTCTTAAGTTAATTTTTTCTAAGTTTTTCTGTCAACAATTGAAAAAATGTCCTCATTGCTTTTTTGTCCATATTGCTTCCAAAAGTAGCTCTTTGAATTCTAAAAACGAGAATCAAGCAAGCTTGAATTGCCACCAAATCAGGAATAAATAAATTCAAAAACTTTTGATAATTTGAATAAAAATTGCTAGTCGAGTTCATCGTTTTGCTAAGTCAATTTGAGTTCCTGTCTGCTAATTTTTTGCTTCTTCAGTTTTGTGTAGTTTCTTTGTGTTAGGATGGTAAAAACGGGAACTAAGCAAGCTTGAAGTGCTATCAATTCAGAAATTTTCAATTATGAAATTTACGAAAATTTTTTCAGAATTACTAGACGAATTTATCATTTTCCTTTTTTGTTCGCTAATTAAAAAATTGTTTTTTATGTCTTCTGACGTCTAGGTAAATTTGATCTCTTTTCGGGCTACATCTTTCAGTTCGATGGCTTATGTGTTTCTTAATATTTGTTGTTTTTTTTGGTTTGATTTTTTGGTAAACCGTTTTTCCAGTCAAGATGTTGGTCTTCTCTGATCGGATTTTTATAGAAAATGAAAATCGGCATTTTTTTGGCTTCATAGCTGTTCAAAATCACTTGATTTTTTATAAACAGTGTCTAGTTCTTGTTTTTTGTTCCTTTGGTTTTTTCAGTCCGTTTTTGTTAAATTCATATAAAATTAAATTTTAAGTTTTTGAATTGTTTTGGTATCGATTTTCGCAAGTTTTGAGTTTTTTTTCAGATCACATTTGTCGTGTTTCTAGTCTAGTTTGTCTAGGTTTCTGAAAAATGTAATTTTGTTGTTCGGTATTTTTGTGTCTTTCATTTACTAATTTAAAAAGTAAATCAGAGTTAGTAGTTTTTGGTTCTTTCATCAATGCAGTTTACCAATACAGTTTACCCATGGTTCGATCGCGTGTCTTCAGAATACTTTGATGCATAGCAGACATGTTTAAAAAGTATGTTGGAGGTTGGCTCATTTTGTTGCTTATATAATTTTTAAAAAATTTTGCTACAATTTTGTTATCTGATTTTTTGATTACTTCTTGACTTATAGTTTTTGCATCGCAAGTGCTGCGAAGCTCTGCTTCGCCTCTGTGTTGAACATTCATCGCGTCAGAACAATCATAATAGCTCGAATACGAATAATATCATTGCAGTTTTCTTGTATGAAATCATAGTACTGAAGTATAAACTAACAAAGAACAATAGACAACGAATGCGATTTTGCTAAATTTTGTGGTAGGATCCTCGAAAAGTGGCCTTCAGAATATCAAGGGAATGTGGATCTATGCTTTAAAGTAAAACCTGATAATATACTGACCAGGTTTAACTTTAGGACCTGGTGATCAAGTGGAGCTTCTTTATGGGATATGCGGACTGTGGTCTGGTGGCTCTCTCGGGTGCAGCCGCCCTAATAGCCGCTTTAGTCGGGGACAAGTTCGGAATTGCCAAGGTATGTCCGATCTACCCAGGAGTGTTTGTTTTTTTTCTCATCAGAGAAACAAAAAGATAAACAATGCGTAAAATATTTGCATAAAAAACAAGGGTAGCGGGTTGCTGTGCAGGTAGCGCAGAATGTTCCGATCATAGTCTTGAAAAATTCAAGTTTTTTTTTCAAATTAGTATAGTTTTTTGTGCGTGCTGTGATAAAAGGATCTGAAGAATATGGAATATGGCTTAGGTATATTCGACAATCACAGTAAAATGCGCAAATTGGGCATTAATTTTGTCAAAAAATGCTAAAAAGAAACTAAAACAAATAAATTAAAAAATTAGAAAGAAAATATTGATACATTTTTGAAGTATTGAAATTTTAATTGCAAAGACCGCACTGAGAAAATTTTTAAAAATTATTTGACTGGAGTAAAACTTAAGTTTCAAGCCCATCCTTCTATAAAAGTCTTCTCGCTTGCTTAACTCGCTCGAAATTGAACTAAAACTGAAAAGATTTAAACCAGTTGTTCTCGGCACTGGGACAAATTTTTGAAAATTTTAAAAAGTTTTTCGAAGCAGGGCTAAAAGGTCTTTTTTATGTTATATTACTCTACCATTTCGATGATTTTTTGTGGCAGCTTCTCTTGGTTGAAAAGCGAAGTTAGCCTTCTCGCTCGCTTTTCTTGCTCGAAATTAGACCTGTTTTTATAAAATACTGGGACAACTTTTTGAATCTTTTTAATAGCGTTCGAATCACGACTGAAATTGCTTTAATATGATGTATATTTCGATCCATTTCGATGATTACTTGTGGTACTTGATTTTGCGTGGAAAACAAAAAAGAGAAAAACTAAAACACGCCCGAATTCAATGTTCCTCCCCATTTTTTAAATGGTTGAAACAATAAAGCAACGAAGAAGTCAAGTTTTTGTCTACATGAGATTTTCGTACGCTTACTTATATATTTATAAACCAGGATAGCCGGTTACTGTGCAAGTAGCACAGAATGTTCCGACCGTAGTCTCAAAAAATACAACAAATTTTTTTCAAGTTATTGTCGTTTTTTTTGGCGCGGTGTGATAAAAGGAGCGGAAAAAATTGGGGATAAGATATATTTGACAGCCATACTACAATAAACAAATCGAAAAACAACTTTTGTAGAAAAATTACTAGAAAAACGAAAAAAAAATTAAATTTTTTTTTTCGAATTTTAAAAGTTTTCTGCAGTTTTTTGAATTTTTGAAAATTTTGTTTCCAAAAGGCGTTAAAATACTCAAATTAAACTACAGTTACCCAAGGCAAACTAAGTTTTACGTTTTAAATTAAGCTTTTGTAAGCTTTTAAGCCATAATAAGACTGCTCGCTCGCTTTATTCGCTCGAAATAAGACGAAAAATCAAAAACTTCAAACCGGTTTTTCTCGACACTGGGAAATATTTTATAAAATTTTTAAATGTGGTTTCAAGCACGACTGTAAAGGCTTTAATATGATATATCATTCACTCCAGTCTGATTATTATTTGTGGCACCTGATTTTGCGTGAAAAACAAAAGAAAAAAACTAAAACACACCCGAATTTTCAATGGTCGGAACAAAAAACGAGTGCATTGAGCTTTAACAGTACACTGACAAGCGAAGTTTTGATTTGAAGCAATAATAATTAAAATGTTTAGTCAAATTTTCCAGGTCAAACCAGACGCAGCGAAGAAGAAGTGGAACAAACTCGCAGCTGCTAACAAGGTTGCCGGAGCAGCGGCTGTGGGTGGGGGACGGAAGGGAAAGTATGCACAAGGAAAGAAGGAAGGGGGACGCGGTAAGGGGACAATGGCAGCAGCGGCAGCAGCTGCGAAGAAAACAGCCACACCCGATGACACTGAGATTATTAACATTTGATGAACAACATCAAGTTGAACTACGCGTAAATTCTACCTTGTAGTTTTAAATTGACGATGAGTTTTAAAAACAACATAAACTTAAAACATCCATCAATACAAAATGTTTTGAATGTTTTTTCATGAGCAAATTGAAGAGCGAATTCTGCTGATTGAAGTTATCCCGCCAAAACGTACAAATCTTGAATATTAAAACGCGTTTTTCACAAGTTGGCTGCTTCAAACAAAAAAAGAAGTGAGCAAAACTGCTTAGAAAAAAATTTTACAAAATTTGGGGCCTAAAATGTATCCCAAAAACCATTTTTTTTAAATCAACCAAAGTGACCGTTTCAATTGCCGAAAAAACTATATCAAAGTAATCCTGTTATGTAGACCAACAAAAATTTCAGAAGGGTATAATCTTCTCAATTTTGTATGAATATATGTTTTTTCGTTTTGATAATGTTTTGAACAAATTTTTGAAAATTGTAACATTTTTATAAATTGTTGGTCTACATGAAAGGCTTAACTTGATTTTGTTTTGACAACACTTGAACCTGTATTTTCGGCGTAATACTAAATAGATAAAAAACCAAAACATCAATTTATGGCAAAATTGATGGCCCTATTTCCGCGAAATAAATTTCACCATGCTTGGCTTCAGCTAAAATAAATATAGCACGCAATTTTTTCACTCCAAAAAAACCAAACATACGTAACCCTACGAAAATTGATGACTGGAAAATTTCTTGTTTCTTGCAAATTTGCAGGGAAGTTTCTTGCATTTTTTTTTCGCTCGGCATCAATATCTTCCAAACGGCATGAAAGTTTTAGTAAATAATTGATAAAAATAAAAGTCAAAAATTAACCGAATATCCTTTTTTTGGCATTCGTTACACAAATAAAGCTTGTGCGATAGTATGAACTCTCTCTTTTTTCCATCTTAAGTCGCAAATATTAGTGTTCATTTTGAAAGTGTTCAATTTGATCAATAACCAGCTATTAAGTACAGTCTATGCTAAGGATATTAACACAGACTATTATATTACAAATAGCACTTTAGTTTCAAGGTATCATGGATCTGTAGCGTAGATGTAGGGAAGGAGACCCGCAACAAAATAAGAGGGTTCGAACTTCGAACCTGGGCAGGGTCGAAGGTTTGCAATTATTTTGTTTCGTATACTAGTTGAAATGCGTCAGCTCTATAATTTGAGGCATGTTAGATGGTATTTTTTTTCAAATTGACTGGCACTGCTACTGCCTCATAACTGGCTTGTGTCAATTAGCAATTATATAGACTAATAATTGGTGTGCGTCTCTTAAGACAACGTTCAACTCGTTCAGTTTTTTCCGGTAGCGTTATCGGTCATATTTTTGCTTGTGTATGCGAAGTGCAACTTCGCCTCTGTGTCTAATATCGCAACAGCAAGAATTCTCGCATCGAGGCGATTGCTTTAAGAAATCTGAAATCGTTTCGGTTATAATTTAAAAAATGTCTAAAACGAATGATCGCTTGAGTGTCAATAAGTGTAATGAACAACAAATTGAGAAAGTTTTAAAAACTTGATTGACTTCTACAGGGTCTTTCAGTTAGAATGTTTTTTTTTGAAACGCTTATAACTTTTAAATGGAACATTGGATTTAACTGATTTTTTTTACATTTTTTTTTATATAACAGATTAAGATTTTTGAACACGTACATAAGAGTTATAATAACTGCTGGAAATGTCCGCCATTTTCCTGAATACAAAAATTAAACCCGCTTCTCAAAATTTGTTGCTGCAATCACTGCCTGCGCCGGAGTTATCGTTCCACAAGCGTTCTCCACAGTTTGGATAAGATTTGGGACTGTCTGGGGGTTGGCATCAAATATCATTTTACCCAAATGACCCCATAGCCAAAAATCCAATGGATTGAAGTCCAAGGTTTGGGGTGGCCAAGGAATTGCACTCCTCCTGACTGGACTTGAATCCATTATATTTTTGGCTATGGGGTCATTTGGGTAAAATGATATTTGATCCGAACCCCCAGACAGTCCCAAATCTTATGCAAACTGTGGAGAACGCTTGTGGAACAATAAATCCGGCGCAGGCAGTAAAAGCAGCAACAAATTTTGAGAAGCGGTTACATCTTTGTATTCAAGAAAATGGCGAACATTTCCAGCAGTTATTATAACTCTTATGTACGTGTTCAAAAATCTTAATCTGTTATATAAGAAAAGTAAAAAGAATCAGTTAAATCCAATGTTCAATTTAAAAGTTATAGACGTTTCAAAAAAACCATTCTTACTGAAAGACCCTGTAGTTTGGAAAATTTACTGTAATTTTTAGCTCCTCCAGCAGAATGAAAAAATTACCTATTCATCTAGTTTTTAAAGTTGAGTCAATTCTATCAAAAAAAGTCAATCACAAATTATTGTTGAAATTCGATAAAATTCAAGGGCGTACAATTTTTTATACCAAAATTTCGACAATTTCTGAAAAATTTTCGAAACAATTCAGTTTTGCTTTCTTACGTTCATTGACACTTGTTCAACTGTCTGCTGGCTGTTTATTTTTCAAACGCAAAGGCATGTTGTTAATCATGCAATTTTTAAATCAATTACCTTGCTTCAAATCAGTTTGGTACAAATATTGAGCCAAGGTTATTTGCCGAGAAGTATATAAGCGTCAGTTGCTCAAGCCAACGCTTTTATTAAATTACAAACTGGCTTTTTTGAGCCTGTTTTGCATAAAAAAGTTCCCGTTATTGTCCACACTTTCAGTATCAGGATTTTTGCCTAACTCTAATTCTTTTGTTTGCGGTTAAATGAAATTTCACTGTATTTTGTGCTGAACAAAATACTATAGTGCTGAATTAAAGCAATCAGATGAAATGAACTAAAACTGAATTTTCAAACTCGTTTTGCCAATTTCAGCAGTATTTGGCCAAAAAAAAAAGATTACAAAAATTCCTTGGAATTTTACCACCATTTTTATGGCGCAATTTTTTTTTTGCAAGCTTTCGAAACAAATTACCCTCTTAAAATAGGTCAACTCATTTTGTTTAAAATTTAAGAGGGTGTCATTTGATGTAATAATGATTACAGCTTAGCATGTGTACATCCTCAATTTTGAACAGCAGAATTAACCCGTTTTAAGGGTGTAATTTTGCTTAAAATTACACCATGAAAAAGCTGGTAATCCACGCAATTTTTGTATTCAATATTTTTTGCCCAAATATTACTGAAAATGAGAAAAACGAAATTGAAATTTCAGTTTTATTTCATTCCATCGTGTTGTGTTAATTCAGCATTATAAGATCTTGGTCAGCACAAAATGCAGTGAAAGTTCATCAAACCGCAAAAAGCGTATGAACAAGTTGTTGAATAAAATCTTTGACTCAATGGCGCAAAATGGCTATATCTTGGGCAGGTTTTTCCGAAAAAGTTTTTTGTAGGGTGATTTATTGTGAAAGTAAATGGTGTATTACTTATTACATCTATCTGAAATACCCTGTATCTTGCCATTTTTGTTTAAATATACCAAGACAATTTCGTTTTAATTTAAAAAATGGAGCGGAATGTAGTTTGGTGCACTTTCAAAATTCCAATAAGTCAATTTCAAAACCAGAATGACCCTACAAAAAATTGTCGCTGGTAGAATAAAATCTCAGGGTATCAATATCTTTTAAATTGTGTAGAAAGCTAATGCATCTTCTTGGCAGAAAAACCAACGTGAGTATAAATATTCCGTTACCTTCTCCGAAAGTTGGAACAATCATTGAGCGATCTCGGCGGTTTCATTGACGCATATTTTGAGTATTCATTTTATATTAAAAGTTCGTTGTCTGCATTCACAATCATATCTATGCAACCCATTGTCAATAGACCGATGATTCGTGCACAACATGATCCGTGCTAATTGCATGATGGTGAGGCAAGATTACATAACCCAGAAAACTAACAAAAAGAAATTGCATTTAATTTTGAACTTTGAGATGAAAGCAATTATCCGCTATGAGCTAAACAACTCGTATGTTAATATCTGTCCCCGTGTATCAAGAATAATCCGGTCTCGTAATATCAAATTGTTTGATCCTCTTATCTGAAATAGGAAACCTTACTTAAAAACACCTTCTGGTTATTTTATAGGTTTCTCTGAGAGTTCTGTTACTGATAGTCTAATAAAGGTCGCAAAGAGCTGTTAACCTTTTAGCTGACATCTTGGTTGCTCTGTATCAACTTACATAATAAAACAGAGTCTCATTGTCTGCTGAACAACTAAATAAGCTTCAGCTAATTTCCGTAACACTGCAGCGTTTTTATTCAATCATAAGCGGGGAAATGAAATCTTTTTAACCACTCCATGGCAGATTTCTAGAGTAGGTTGGAATGCAACCTATCGATTGTCTTCATCATCGTAGACCAAACAAAAAATAATCCTTTTAGCTCGAAAAATCAAAGAAAAAGCGGAACATCTTTGGTGATTTGCTGTTTTTGTTTGACGATCAATGAAAAACCATTCAATTAGAAAAACTCGTGAAAAATTTAAACTAACTTGGCTCACGTTCCGTTTTTTTATTATCTTCACCTAATGGAGGTGTACGTGTAATCCTACTTTGAAAATATCCGGTTGAAGAGATTGCGCGTCCTCAAGTTTTCATTGATCTCAGCAACTTCATTAAAAATAATGAACACCTGGAAACGTTTGCTTTTGTTATTAAACGACGCCGCTTTTCTGTGCTTGCACGTTTCGCGAGAGGAGTTGCGGAGAGGACCCTATGGATTCAAGTGAGTTTGTAAAAAATTGTTAAAGAACTTATCAGACCTTTGTTCGGACTTTTGAACACAATGAGCTTTCAGGCCTGTTTCTCCTTTTGAGGCTCACTTCTGAAAAACTACAAGGTTGCAAAGAAAATTATGTTTATCTATTGTACAATTTACCAGTTATCATAGGTGAAATATACAAATGTGCTTGAAATACATAGGTGCTAAAAATGAAAATCAATCAGAGAAAGTTTTATATAGTCACGGGATAGTTTTTCGCAAATTGGGTTAAATTGATGAAACAATGGGCAAGCATACATTGCTCTAGAAAATTGAAGAGCTTTAAACCATCTAGTTTTTTTCTTCGAACAATTCAATTTTTTCTTT